TGTTTAGTTATCCTATGTCTTCGGTGTTATATCCTCAAATAAATTAATTGTCAGAGGAGTTGAAAAATTATTTCTCAGTGAAGTTGACTGCTTTATTTAATGAAGAAAAATCAATAATAAAGTAACAAAAATTTCTGTTTCCTTAATTGGTATGTTAAATGCAATAACTATTCAAATTTTAAAATATTTAAAATTAATATTTTAAGTAATAGGATTGTAAACATTAAAAAACCCTAATGCAGTTTAGGGGAAAACATGATTTGGTGGATTTTAGGATTTTTCTTTTAATTGTGCTTCCTCCAATCTAACAAAGGAAGGAAAGCCTGGCAATTCGTTGACACGAAGGGAGAATATCTTACTTTTTGAAAGTAATCCCAGGAAATTTCCTGTTGATGTCAAGAAAAATTATTTTAGGATAATTTGTTTTGTTTTACTTTCCTGATACCACTCTCTACCACAGATTAATGTAAAAAACAAAAACAAAACCAAAACAAAACATACATATACATCCCCTTAATTATTAACTTGCTTCTCCTCCTCTTGCTTTTTTTTTTTTTTAAATCTTCATCACCACAGAAGAAAATAACACTAAACAAAACAAAACAAAAACACTTCACACACTATGTAGCATTTTACTCTTCTCAAAATCCTCCAGTCATTTTGTGTGACTGGCAGGGCAAATGCCATCTCTTTTTATGGATAAGAAAGTTGAATTATATAGCTCTTCAGGGGTATGCCCAGAACCCCTTGGCTAATAGCTGATTCAGTTCAAGACCTCTTACTCTTAATCCATGTTGGTTATAAGCCAAGCTACATAAAAACAATTATATACATTTGCATGTATTCCTAGCAGCTTTAAACATGATATAAGACGTGTAAGTGATGCAGGATTTGAAGTTTTTCTAAGATGAAAATTTAAAGGTAAATTGACATATTTTTTCTTACATTAATATCCACATAATTTTTCTCATATATCCCCTTCATAGCTACCCACCTTGGTGAAGAGTTATGTATAAAAATTTCAGTTAAAAAAGAATCACTGTCAAAGCTTGACTTTTTTAAAAAAAATGTTTACATCAGGATTCATGATGGTATAAATTAAGAAAACATTGAACATCAAGTATACATCTAGTCACCAAGTCCTTTTTTTGTCTTTATGTGCAAGGAAAATTGGGACTCTGTTTATTATTTCTGATATAAAAACAATTTTTGTAGGCAGCAGAATTATAAATTTTATTATTTTTGACATTATTACAAATGACCTCCATTTCTCCCCTCTTTTCCCACCTCCACAATTCCCTACATACCCTTCCCTGGCCTTCACCACACTATTGTCTGTGTTCATGGGCTATCCTATATAATAAAACCTAAGATGCAAATCAATTGAATTGAGAAACTACCTGCAGAATGACTGGTCACTATAATATGCACTGACCACCAGCGGGCAGATGCTCAACACAGGAGGGCACAGCTCCTGCATTGAGCACCTGCCCCGTGAAAGGGAAAGGACCAGAGGTGGTGATCAGGGGCCAAGGCCAGCCAGCTGGATTTTTATCCCCCCCCATTTTTTTAAATTGATTATGGTATCACATAATTGTCCTCATCCCCCCAATCCCATCCCAAACCCCTCCCTCCATATGCCCTCACCCTCCCCTACTTTCCCTCTGAGGTTTGAAAGCCACTTGGGCTGTTTCTACATCATAGCCATTGTAAATAACACTGCTATGAACATAGGTGTGCATGTATTCTTTCTGATTGGTGTTTTGGAATTTTTAGGATATATTCCCCAAAGTGGAATCAACACAAGAAAAATCATAAAATGGAAAACTACCTAAACAACAGATAATATGTGAGATACCTTTAGAGATATTTTGTTCTATTATTTATTATCCATGAGTTTCTCTCCATTCTTTATGACTTCAATTAAATACATTCTTAGTTTAAAATATTGGTGGCATTTAAATTTTTAAAATAGTACATTTTCAAAGACTAAGGGATGTGAAAAACTCTGATTTTTTTCTGTAATCTTGTTTATGCAATTAGAAAATTACATAATCTCAGGAATCTGTGGTTATTTGAAACTGTGTTCTCTTTCTCCACCCCCATCTCTTCCTCTCACATACACTCAAATATAAGTGCACAACATAATAAGTTGTATATATTTTCTAGGTACATATGGTAGTCATATTGTACATCTACAGATTGAAAGACAAATGCAAGTACTTGATAATATTAGCAATATATTTACTAATAAAAATTATATATACTCCTCCAAATGTTTATTATAAAATGATGAAATTATGTTGGAGAAATTGTTAAAGATGAATAACCTTTAATATTTACAATTCATGAAACATCTTGACAGAGGAACAGAACCCAGACCACTGTGTGTGTGGGTGTGTTTTTTATCCCAATCTCAAAGTTCTCTATTTGAAGAGGATTTAGGTTTATATTTTTTATTCCCACTCTATCATTATGTTTTCAACGTAGAGCATAAAATAATGGATCCATACTACATAAGTGGGTACTCCATGCATAGAAAAAATAAGGAGCAGAGATAAAATATAGTGCTCTCAATATTATGAAGCTACAGTTGCAAAAAAATAGCATCATATTTTTAAATATTTTTTTTTCTTAAAGGTTAGGTTTCTTTCATGCACCAAACATTGCAAAGGTTGTTGAATAATATGAATTAAAAAATAAAAGAAATATTCAAAATCACAGTATTTCATTATTTCAAAGCAGCGTGAATGAATTGTAAAAGCACGAAACAATAAATTATGAGGATATATTTTTCTGTCTAAGATCTGCTATGAAGCCCGGGCTGGTGGTTCAGTTGGTTGGAGGAACATCCCATACACCAAAAGGTAGCAGATTTTATTAGATTGGGGCACATACTAAATTTCCGGCTCAATCCCTGATTGGGGTGTCTATGGGAGTCAACCAAGCCATGTTTCTCTCTCACATTAATGTTTCTCTCTTTTTCTCTCTCTGTCTTCTTTCCTTTATCTCTAAAAAAATTTAATAAATAAAAACCTATTGTTTTTAAATAAAGAAAAAGGTGGACAGAATCACTTACAAAAATAAATGCATCAGTGAATATGCTATTAACTAATAGTGTGGTCTTTAGTCATTTTATGCCATGATCACTTCATTTGTGAAACAGAATAACTCCGTAGGCCACAATGATAAATTGGTTTAAAGTACAATAAAAATACATCTATAATAAGATACTTAATAAAATAAGAGATCTTCCTTCCTCATTTCTTCCACCTTCCCTTCCTTCCTCCTTTGCTCCTTCCCTCCCTTACTCCCTTCCTTCTTTCCCTCTCTCCTCCCTGAAATGTAATGAGAAAAGCTGAGGATAATTTATAGAACTCTGACAAGTTTAAATTTTGAAAAAGTTTTTTCTTTTTCTTTACAAAAGCAGGAGACCATTGCTTCTTATTAATCTCAGTAGAGTTATTTAAATAACTTTGAATATAAGAAGTTAAACAATTTGAAATCCAAGTAAAGATGTTCCATGAAATAAAAAGAATGCTTTAATTATGCCTTGAATATACTCAGTCTGATTACAGTGAATATTCCTCACAAAAGTAGTCTTTTCATTTCACTAACAAAGGAAGGTGAGTTTATTTATGAGACATAACAAAGAAAACTGGAATCTTACAGACCTCTTTAATGGCATCCTAACAATACAATACCTAATAATAAAGCCAAACAACAAAACTATTAATAGGCAAAAACAATCCCAAGAATAAAGAATAACATAAAAATTTGAACTTGCAGGTCAAAATAATGTGCTTAAGAAATTAATGCATTGTATTTGTATGACTTTCATTTTTTTATTTTTTACATACAACATGGCTATTTAAATGAGTTTGAATGTGCTATGAAATGCTAGATTAAAATTTTAAAATTTATTTCTATTTTTCCTGTTATTATAACCATGCATCTCTATTCTAAAATGTACATATTCTGTTGTTTTTATACAGGCACATAATTCATGCAGTATTGACCTCAATGTTTTCTCAGGAAGCAGATCACAGGAAGAAGCATCTGATGTGCTTTATTAAAAAACAAACAAACAAACAAAATCAATAACAAAACACCCTTTCACCAATCTATTTGTCTTTGTAAAGGATGGCTATATAATTGAAACAAAAGGTGTGCTTTAGTGGAAATATCTCCAAACTTGAGTTCTGAAAACTTTACTTTGATCCCTGGCATTATCTGTTATTATCTCTGACCTTGGCTCAAGCTCTTAAATTTCTTGGATCACAGTTTTGGCAACTATATAATAGGAATTGCAATGAGAGATCAAGTGTTCTGAGGGGAAAAATCAACAAATAACTTCTGAGATAGTATCTCAGTCATAGTATATATGCAGTCATTACTTGATGATTTGGCTTTAAGATGATTCAGAAGACCTAGAATATAATCACAATTATTATCCTGAATCTTCATACAAAGATTGGCTGATATGTACTTCATGTGAAAGTATTAGTTTTCTAGGGCTGCCATTACAATATACCACACACTGGTGGCTTAAAGAGAAATTTATTTTCTCGCAGTTCTGGAGCCTGAAAATTTGAGATCAAGGTGTCGACAGGTTTGATTCCTCCTGAGACCTTTCTTTTTGGCTTGCTGGTGCCACCTTCTTGCTACGCCCTCACATGCTTTCTTTCTGTGTACACATATCCCTACTGACTCTCCCTCTTCTTATAAGGACCCTTGTCATAATGGATTAGAGGCCACCCATATATCGATATTATCGGAATGCTGATAAAATATTGTTGAGATAGAGAAAAAAAGGGGAGAGGCTGGTAGAACAGCTCTCTGGCTAGGCTTGATAATTGGGAAGTCGGAAGCATCTGTTTATGTTAAAAGAGCAAAACTATCAGAAAAGGGAGTAATCTCAGTCACATTCATGAAATGGCAGTACATAAACTTGTAATGCATATGATAATATTTTTTAATAGTTTATTCTCCTCTGTTAGCTTTCCCTCCTGGAAAAGGCTGGATTTGGAGGTGTCCTACTATATGTTGATCCTTGTGATTTACCAAAGACTGCAAATCTTGACGAGGACGCTTTCATGGTGTCACTGAATCCAGGAGGAGACCCTTCTACGCCTGGTTATCCAAGTATCGGTAAGTTCCCTGATGACCTTCGTTATTCTTGTACGCATTAGAAAGCTGCAATGTATGAACACCTAAACTAAGCAAGGGATAGTGAAGTCAATGAATTCTTACCACTCCATATTTTAAACAGTGAATTTTGTATTTTCTCAGTCTATAGACTACTCATTTGTTAATATATACTATTAATAGTATACATGAAGCCTGGTGCACAGATTGATTTCAGAGAGTTAAGGGAGAGGGAGAGATAAAAACTTCAGTAATGAGAGAGAATAATTGATTGGCTACATCCTGCATTCCCCTACTGGGATCAGGCCTGCAACCTGGGCATGTGCCCTTGATAGGAATTGAACCTGAGACCCTTCAGCCTACAGGACAATGCTCTATCCACTGAGCCAAACCAGTTAAGGCTGAAATATATATTTAAAAGTTTTAATAGATTATCTGTCTTCATAAATTACAGTGCCACTAACAAAGAAAAACATATTTTATGTTATTATTGATTGACTGAGAAGAAAAATTAACACAACGCATGATGGGCAATCCGTGTTGGTGGCAACCATGTACACAAAATATCTGTTGCTTTGGGATATCTATAATGACGTTAGGTCCAGAGTCTGGGGGGGGTATATTTAATTAAGTTAAATGAATAAAGTAGTGAGAAATGATTCTGGAAAAGAGTGGAGTTATATGAACAATTTTTGTGGTTCTCTAAGAGAAAGAATCTCATTGGTTTGGCCAGTCTCTGGCAGTACAGAGGTGGCCTTTGCAGCAAACATCTTTCTCTTTCCCTGGAAGCCGTGTTCATGATAGAGGGGTCATGTGGCAGAGAAAAGATAACTGTGATTTGGGCAGGTGCTCATTCATCATTGAATTTTTGTCCCAGGTGCCATTGACAGGTATTACATTTATACAGACTTGGCTGAGGAAAAAGTCCTTGGGCCTTCTTCCAGGGTGATACTACCCCATTTACCATGACATTTCAGCCTGTAATTAAACTACCAAAACTTTTATGCAATTGTTTATGTGTCCTGCCAATATTTTCCTTGTTCTCCACAAAATATCACAAAAATATTTTACTCATTATCTTACTCAAGTCCAGCTGGTGTGACTTTACCAATCCATCAATAAATTTCTCCAAGAAACAAAGACATTGAGCTAGGAGTTATAATTTATGATTTGTTGTATGGGGGTGTCTACTGATTATTGCTCTGTTTTCTAAAATACTTCTTTAACTCAGATAATGATTTTTTGGAGGACTTCATTGATCTGTGCTTTGTATGGTCTACTGTCTCATTAGTACAACATTTAAATTAAAATTAGGAGTGTTCATCTGTAATCTCTGTGCATCAGAAATATCCATCCAGCTCTCTTACTTACAGATGCTCTTGAATTCCTTGGTTTTAATGCCTCAGTTTAGGGAAGTTGCACCTGGCAGGTAAGTGTTTGTGACAAGTCAATGGGCTGCCATGCTGTTGAAAAGTAGGTACTTTATGAATACTCTGCTTAAGTTGGCAACTTGCCCAGCTGCCAACATTTACTCTTAGCATTATTCTGACACAGGTCATTTCATAAATGTAGAATTCAGTCAAGTCTAGTAAAATGTTGGCTAGTTGTGAGCAATCTCAGAATGCTTTCTTTTCTTTTCAAATAATTTCTACTCACAAAAAGTTGCAAATATAGTTACTATGTGTACATTGGTCCCAGAATCTATACAATAAAACTATCAAAGTCATAAAATTAGCATTGATGCAATGCTGTTAACTAATTATAGGCTTTTTAAAAGATTTCCTCAATTCTCTTACTGTTTTTTTTTTTTTTTTTTTGCTGCCATATCCAATCCAGAATTCCATACTGTATTTAGTTTCCTAGTTTACTTAATTGTCTCCAATCTGAAAGGCTTTTTTTCATTGCCTTGACCCTTTCAAGAATATTGGCAGTTGATTTTGTAGAATGTCCCTCCGTTGAGCTTGCCCAGTGTTCTCTGGTGATCATATTGTGGTTCTGCATTTTTGGCAGGGGTACTGTGGAAGGGATGATGTGCCTTTCTCAGGGCATCGCATGAGGCAGTGCATATATGATTGTGTCTCATGTCTCGTGACGCTAACTTTAATCCCTTGTTCATGGTGATGTCTGACAGTTTGCTTCACTGAATAGTTACGATTTTTTATTTAATAATTAATGAATGTCTTCTGGAGAGATATTATGAAGTTGTGTAAACATCTTTTTTTCTTATCATACTTTTCCCATAAATGTTAGCATCCATCAATGGTTCTTGTTTTATTAAATTTTTTATTTGGTATTTGCCCAGTGATGATTTTCCATCTCCATCATTCCTTTAGAATACTTTTTTAAAGATATACTTTTAGAATACCAGTAGTCTTCCTTGCCACCTACATTCTTAAACAAAGATAAAATGACTAATCATTTTCTGCAAAATATAAATATAAAAATAATTTTTAAATTTAATGCCAAAACAACAGTTTAATACATGATATTATTTACTATATTACCCATGTACCTATAGGGGATTCATATGAATAATTCTTTTACAAATATAATGCCAGAGTGAGGAAGGGAGAGGACCTCTTTTGTACCTATAACACACAGGAAAGGCAGCCCATTGTATTTCTCTTTTTGCCCTGCATGCTAAGAATCTCTGATTAACTGCAATGATTTATGCCCCTGTTTTAGATTTATTTTCCCTTGTTTGTTGAACTTTTCTTAATTGTTTTTGTCTTATGGTTTTACTCACATTAAAAAAAAATAGTGCAACCCTCCTCAAAAAATTTTTGGGGTAGAAAGAATGAGAAGCCAGGTTGTGAATTGTAAATAAATAACTACAAATAATAATTTGTTCAAAGTGAACAATAGTATCTGAATAATTATTAGAGGAATTAATGCAAAACTACAGTATTTTGGGGGAAGAAGGAGGTCCCAATATATGGTGACAGGAGAAGTTTTGACTTTGATGCAATATCAGATCTTATAACATAGAAACTCACACTTGAATCCTATATGTGTATGTTGACCGATGTCACCACAATAAATTTGATAGAAGCAAAAATATCTCTTTTCCAGTTTTAGAAACTTTGTTTTAGTAACTAATCTATAATGTCCCAAATAAGTAATAGAGGTTGACTAAAATACAAAGAGGTGTTTGTTTTTAATATAAGCAAAATAGTACCCGGTTTCCCAAAAATAAGACAGTGTCTTATATTAATTTTTGCTCCCAAAGATGCGCTAGGTCTTATTTTCAGGGGATGTCTTATTTTTCCATGAAGAAGTATACGGTACACATTTATTGTTAAATGAAAATAAAGGAAATTTATTACCTGTGTACGGTATGGTAGCATGGTAGTTGTCAACAGAAACCAGACAAACTGTGAATCCTACAGTATCAAGAATTTACTCATTTATTCAATGACAATCATGTCATCATCTTCTGGAACATCATCATAACAATCCAATTCCTGAATTTCCTGGTGAATTTCTTGTGACTCCATTTCTTTCAGAATCAGTGGACCAAATCTCTCATATTTAGCCTAGGGGGGGGGGGCGCTTATTTTTGGGGGATGCCTTATATTTCACTCAGAAGGAAACCTGTAAGTTAGATCTTATTTTTGGAGGATGTCTTATTTTCGGGGAAACAGGGTATAATGAACTCTCTGTATGCCTCCTTTGGCATCATCAACTACACACGTTCTTCCAGGATATGTTTTGTACATCCCCTTACATTCTACATCACCCCTTGCTATTTTTCCAGATAAACTTTACATATATTGAAGTGGACACATCTTAATTGACAAAAGAATACACTCATGTAATCCCTATGACTCTTAACTGACCAAAGAATACACCCATGTACTCACTCATGTAATAGCCATACACCCATGTTTTCTTAGGTTAAAAAAAACAAAAACACTTTCATCACCTTTGAAAGTTTTTAGTGCTTTCAGAGTCACTCCACATCACTAGCCCCAGCTAACCACCCTCTCACTTTTCTCATGCTACAAAAATGCAGAACATCATAAAAATGGAAACAGGAAATATGTATGTATTTTTGTGTGGGTTCTTTTGCTCAGTGTGGGTGTTTGGTAGTTCATTCCCTTTGATTGCTGACAACTACACCACAATTTTTGTATTGATACAAGTAGGTGTTTTTTAAACAGGACTGCTGATGCACTCTTCTATAAAGCATGATGCAAATGGACTGCCCAGACAAAACACAGGGACTTCCTATATGGTAGTTCTGCTCAGTAAGTCTCATTGCATATCCAACTAGTTCTTGATTATTATAGAATTAGAGCAAAGAATAAAAGCTTTTAAATAACTTTTGCTCAAATTACACAAAAAAAGAATGCCTATTCTTTTAACAAAGGCCAGCCTTTAACTTCTATAGCCTATTAATTATCTTTTCTGAGCCTTATTTTATTCAAAATTAAGAAATAGAAATATCTATGCTTGTATCTATATTTTTAGCCCACTGTTTGTTAGTAAAGAAATGCAAAACCTCAAGCTCCACCCCAGATTGATATAGGAACCTTGAGGGAGGGGCTCGCCTTCTGTGTCCTTAGAGACTCTCCAGTGAATTCTGATGTAACTGAATTTTGAGAACCACTAAACTATAGAAATATATTCTTTATCTACCATTGGGGCTACTGTCCTCAATTTTGGGATCTCATCTTATATCGCTGCCTTTAATTTTGTTGTCTCCACCTCAATCAGGACTGAGAAATGTGTGTGTTTAGGATCCTCAAACCAATTTTTGTGCTCAGTGGGCTCTCTGTAAATATTTGTAGAGTGAACTACTCGTTCTGTTGATGGCTAATTTTCTTCAATGATTCTTATCCTGGGCTACACTTTGACTTTAATAAACCTCATTAAAATTCATTTTTAAAGAGTTTGTATAAGCACTTACCCATGATAGCTTTGTTTACAAAATATATGATTTATTTTTTTCTGTGAAAAGCCTTCTCTCAATTCTCTCTCATCTTTCTTGCCACTCAAAA